CAACACTAACAAGAGGATTTCACATTGAGATAAAACAAACCGACAATCGTTACAAACTGACATACAAGTCAGTCGAGTACATTACTGATATCATTAGTGTAACAATGTAATACGTTAGGATGGCTGCCAAGTGAACTTGCATTCTGTTGTTGAATAGTGGGAATGTACGATGAACGTACTACAAGCTGAGTGAGCCAGTATAATTCAAATGTCGCATACACAAATCCTAAGTATTACTACATTATATTTCTTTCCGTTCACTTCGACATCCTGCGTGATGCGTGAAGTCGAACATAAAAAATAGCTCACAGCGTTGTAGTAACAAAATAACTTCGCGTTAAACGCGAAACTATTTTTTGTTCATTTCTACGCTTTATACATATTTGATGATGTTAAATTTTGCGGAAGTAAGTGTATCTCAACTACAGATTTCTCTCTGGAAGCTCAGCCTTTCGACACTGAACTATATAAAAGGAAATTGTAGTTCAAAATCAAATCATTCGATTTTGCAGCAGACGCACGGTCCGTAATATTCAGGCATTATACGAGATCTCGTAGTGAACGGAATTTATCTTTTACAAACAAAGTCAATGTGGTATTCAAACTAAATTTCGTTCCATTATAAAAACCCAATAGTGGAGTCGTTTTAGGTATGACAGCTACAATAAGTCCTACTTCACTTAGCTTGCGGTGAAAACATTCGCTTTGTATTTTACGGCGCATGCGTAGGCCGTCTTACAAACTGCAGTGGCGGATCTAGGGGGGGGGTTTCTTGGGGTCCGCCCTCCCGTTGAAAAATGTATTCAAATTGTTTTTGTATAATATAAAAAAATCATTAACTTAGTCTGGCGATTTTAAAGTTTGGACCCCCCCCCCATAAAAAAAATCCTGTATTCTTCCCCGAACTGCGTCGCGTGGTTCTGACAGAAACATAAATGGGACAGAGAAGGGGGCTACGGAATTCAATTTATTTGAACAATCAAATGTATTTTACCTGAAAACAAATTATTTTTGTCTTGTTGCATTTCATCACACTGACTTTCCAAAACCCATAGCCATTGTGCGTTTCTCTATGCGTTTCGTATGTGCATTTTTATCGATTGTAATCACATTAATGTACATACTCTCCTAATTGCAACACCATAGTCGAAGGGAGTATTGTAGCTGACAGTGTTGTAGGGGAGACTCATTATGCACGTTTTTCGACGCATGCGCTAAAACATATAAGGAAACGATTTGCTAAAACTTATTTTTATACATTACAGCTTAGCCCCAGACGGTCCTGTGACAATCTTTCTAAAAGGCAACGAATATACAAGGTGAATATCACAATTATGAAACTTGTTATTAATTAATTTCTAATCTCGTTTCATGTTATATGTGTTTATTTATGATGTGATTAAGAATTGTAGTAGTGTTGTACTGCTAACACTGCGCTGTTATTCCGATTTTGATGATGTTGAATTTGTGTATTGTCTCAAGTGCAGCAGTCGGACCTTGCGCACGCCTAAACATATATCTAAAGTTAAGACAATCAACTGAAAGTCATCTACGTCAACTTTACATCGACTCTTTTGTTCATATGTATGAATAGCCAACGTGATATGGATGACCAACACCCAGTGGCATGCATGCTAATGTGTAAACTATGCAACACTGAGATCAAAGAAACCAAAAATCGTTACAAAATTTTTAACAATCTGAAGTCTCGGCATTTCGACCCTGAACAATAAAATAGAAATTGAGGTCAAAATCAAAATCATTTTGCAGCTGACGTTCGGTCCGCAATATTCAGGCATTATGCGAGATCTCGCAGTGGACAGACAATGATCTATTACAAATAAAGTCATCGGCGTATTTAAATTACATTTCGTTCCATTATAACCTTTTGATCTGGGAATTAGGTGGTCAAGGTTGATAAATTTTAACAATTTGTATCATGTTATTTCCGTTTATTATAATCCATTATAAACAATTCAGCAATGTATGTCAATAACGCATGTACCGGCACTTACAGTGAGCAAGGCAGCGTATTAATGGAATCGGTGGGTAAGTTCTGGGTTTATATGATAAGGTACACTGCCAATTGAAAACCTGCCTCGAATATTGTCTATGACCGATGTGAAAGAGCATTCTGTGTTATTCACATTTGACACTACCACAAACAAATATCAGTGCCGTTGAAAGAATGAGTGAATGTAATGATTTGCTCCTTTTTCTAAAATGCCCGGATTTATGGGTTCAATTGTCATCAGTTGACATACGTTGTGGTTCCGACAGTGTATTGGTGCATGACATGTAATTTAGAATAATGTAGGGCGTACCCACTATCCATACTATTCTCACCACCAAATACTATACACATTGATATTGTGCATCAGTACTACGTCGTTATTGTCCGTATATCTGTTTTGACCATTGTATTTTTGTTCTAGGCAGATTCCGCAACCTAATGTTATTAGCTCAACGATGGTTTGAAATATAACATGGAATCACTGTTAGAAATTCAAAAAAAGATAATGTAAACAAATTTGAGTATACATATGTATGGCTACAACATATGCCGCTACTATGGTCTTGTCGCTGATATATATTTTTTTTATTTAACTAACGACTTTCTTTTCCGTACTAGAATTATATTAACATTTTACATAGAACACCCAATTTTTCTATTAAAGCTTGTTTTTATTAATTCTTCAACACGCAGAAAATAAATATTTATTCCACAATTGAAAAGAGTAGAACATGTTTTATAATCATGTGTATTACTGGTTGAATGAGTTATGCGTCATTAATTGTTGTTCATTGAAGTGACTTAACACTATGTTGATATAGATAATATGTATTACGTCACAGTGAGAAGAAACGCAAGTTATGAATGTAATCCCGTCCAAGTATTTCGTATTATTATACATCTGTCACCGTAACGCCATAAGTTACAGCGTGCCGTAATTTTGCGGTATCGCGCTGGGTATTTTCCTCCTACCATATTAGGAAACGCGCATTCCAAATATGGAACAAAAACGCGCGCAAGCGTCCTCTATAATAAAAAAAAACATGCCTGCCCCCAGGGTTTGACCGAACCCCACACAAAGAAGTTCGTTAAATCTGTTCTAAAACGTGTTGGATTTTAGCATTCCCATGACGTATACCTGGGTGGGGGGGATGTATAATAATAAGGTTATTACAAGGATACTGAAAAGTATTCACCCACGCGTATAATTATGTATATAATTATGTTGTTGATCTATATTATTCTAACTCACAAATAATATTCGCAGAGAGTCAGGCAATGATCTCTATGTGCTCTAATACTTGAGTGTATATTGTCATATACACTGTACACATGAATGGTTAGTTTGCGTTTAACACTTATTTGTAAATTGCAAACACTTCCTGTTTCATTGACTATTTATTTATATTGAATTTCTGCTTTCCTTCCTCAAAATAAAGTATGAATTGCACTCGCCCATTATAAATTTGTACAGACTTCTGCTTTTTGGTATGTAAAATAAGTAGAGTGTTGTTTACATTTCATTCCACAGAATTAGTGATAAGAGAAACATGAATGTGATTGGACATAAGGATCAACTTTTTTAGAATTAATATAAATGAAATGCAGATACTGAAAAATTCTAAATTCTAAGCTCAATTTCAAATGTGACTTCATTAATACTTTTGATTTCCCCACTCAAAATATATTACAATACATGACAAATTAAAGCTACGCATTGAGAACATTATTTGTCAGGTATTTGTTTAATAAAAGTACTTATAGTCGCCTCAAATACAGCTGGATATGATACCATCTACTCTGGTAAGAACAAACTGATGCAAAATGCTTCTACACTGAAAATAACGTGAATATTCTTCTTGAGAACATCGTTGTCGAGTTCGGAGAATATTATTTTCATTCCATGAAACTGATTTTTACAAACATTAGACATTTGTTTAATTTCATAATGCAAAACATTACAACACTTGATACTATGGGTGCTTTAGTTTGTCTGAGACGATCGAGTTTATTTCCATAATATGTCAGTATGGTACACAGATGCGTTCGGGTTTGAATTGTTGAACACAGAACACAAACCAACTGTTACAGTAATCTTCACTGGGATTAGAAAACGAATACGTAATTGCATTATAATTTTAAGACGGGCATTCTCTCATTAATTATGTATATGTACTCCACTTTTAGGTTTTTGTTTAACGAAAGATATACAATAGTAGATGGAAATGAAAGTCGTGCTGTTATTTGTATTGGGTGAGCAAATTACGATTTTGTATTTGAAATTGTGTGAATATGTCATAAACATGCGCGAAGTGTATATTTTACTTGTAGAGAAGTTTTCATATGTATACATATAACACATTTACGTTATGTGTGAAGTGTGTCATATTAATTTATAAATCCAAATGTATATGATATATGTGTGTCATATAAAGTGAGTTCATACGCCCGTAATTATATGATATTCATAATATGTAATGTGTTTGCTATCTTAGGAATGATATGGTCATCTAGGGCCTTGAAGTGCTATACGTGCTCAACCGCGGACAGCCAACATTCTAACTGTCAGAAAGATTTCGAGGATACTGCTGTGGCATGCCATGATGTTGATGAACCCACATGTTTCGTAAGCATATCATTACATATAAATTTCGCTTATAATTTGAATCCCTATCCCTATAGACAAGAATGTAACAAGAAAACATGGCTTTGGGAAAGTTTAGTGCTCACAACCTGCAATATTATATAGCCTCTAATTAAATCACATGGCGCTGTGAAGTGACGAAAACGTAAAAGATCGGCATGCACTTTTGCACATGCACATCGGTATCTTGATGAATCTTACAGCAATTGTTAAATGTTGACCAATTCGTTTATAACAATATCTGGGTACACATGCATAATCTGAGCTTCATCATTACGATCGCACTTCATTTTAACAAAATTCATCTATTGGAATTATTTTCACGAATTGTATGTGATGTATTTTGGGAGAAAAGAGTGAAGACACGACATGGATATTCCGAATCAAATAAAACATAACATATAATCAATCAGTTTTAGTTCTATAGAATATACTGTATCATGTAACTAATGAAAGTCTCAAAATGATTTAGATATGCCTGCGTTCTGATATAAGTGTAAATTGTAATGCAAACACTTTCTTGTTAGCACCAGTGGAGAATCAGCAGTTCAGTTCGATCTTTGTAATGATTTGTTGTATTTGAAATTTTATTTGTTACAGGTAAGCAACTACACGATAGTTGGAGTGAGTAACGTGTTTACACGCGGATGCACAGAATTAAGTCAGTGTACAAGTGAAATGCTGTGCTCTTCAGTACAATGTTAGTATAAGTTTTCATCATTGACGTAAATACAATATCACTACTGTGCCCAGCTTTATTTTGTGTCATCATAATTACAAATGTTTCACATATCAAAATTTGTGTATGGTATATTCCTTATACAACTGGAAAATGTTACGTAATAATAATGCATACTTAAGCAATTAACAAATGCTCATTATGCCACGTCTCTCAATTATACATTTGGGCACGTGTTGGTGCCTATTACGAGCGTTATATATAGAATATATATTATAGAAGTTTTATTTAGAGATGAAAATAAATAATTTTGTCATATTGCGAATAGTAGAATGACTGATTGTTTGATTGATTTTGTTTAATATTCCACAGATGGCACTACTCTCTGCGAGCTTTCTTGCTGTAATATTGACTTGTGTAACGGTACCAGCGCCTTAATGTGCAACTACAAGCTCAGCGTCATGGCATTGATTCTACTGTGTTTTTTCATTTGAACTACTTTCCGTGTACATATTACACAATTGAATGCAGCCCACTATGTGTTCACAATTTATGCATGTAATCCAGAACGAGTTGTCACAATTTGCAGTTTCCTGTCACTTATTATATCACAAATAATTAAGATTTAATAAAATCTTTAGTTCGAATTTTTATTGCTAAATTGTATATACAGTTAATAACACGAGTAGCTGTGCAGTTTCAACTTACACTTATGTTCAGCATCTTCCAATTTACAAGATGTTAATCATAATTATGTTAATCATAATTACGTGTTACACGGCACGAGTAGGAAGTGAAATTAACAATTTATAGCCCTACAATCCAATGAAAACTAAAATAAAGGCACACATGTTGCAGTAAGTTTACATTTGCATGAAAACACACACACACACACACACACACACACACACACATATATATATATATATATATATATATATCAGTTCTTTTTATTTAGATCATGGCAATTTTTTGGTCAGAGCGCCCTCTAGTATTGTGGAGAATCATGTTCATTTAGAATGCTCTGATTGGATGGAAGTTCAAGCCTAGCAAGGTGTGATAGAATTGGCCTGTTATGTTCAGATCCAAAT